TTTTTTTTTGCATTTTTTTTAAATACATGGAAAAAACAGAAAAATTTCGATAAATACATGGTGTACTATATATTTTACCTCAGTTGTGGAATTGTAATAAAAGCATGTTTATAAATCTGCATCAAAGTTCTGGTTAAAAACCAGGTGAAGAAAATTTCATAAATAGTAACCTTTTTTATTGTAATTCAATTATTATTTTTTTTCAAAGAAAACTGGGACATTCTAGGTTTGAGATTGCATGCCAATCTGATTTACTAACCCGAATTGGATTGGGAAATTTTTGTACATACTACACGAAATTAAAGAAATTTCGAATTTACCATTTAATAACAAATTATTATGTATATAACTAGTAGATCAAAAATAATTACCTAAAAATCAGTTACCCATTGTAAACATCATCCATTCCATATCTTGGGCGTGCTTTCCGCGATGTTAACAGAAAAATAGAGAGAGATAAAAACATGTATTGTAATTCACGAGCTGTCCAGTTGGGTATATGTTGCTTTTATGTTAGTATATATTCAGTATATGTTGCAATGAAAAACATGAATTCCATATAAAATTATGTTTCTTCCTTTTTTTTTTAATTTTATACATAAAAGTATATATATAGTTTATAAACATATTATAACAGATTACTTATATTCCCTATACAAACAAATCTTCTAATATACTGAACATATACTTCATATACACACAATATAAACTGAACAGTTTACAAAAAAATCTTCTAATATACTGAACATGTACTCCTTATACACACCACATATACAGCCTGCCTGCAACATATACTGCTGTGAACATATAACATATGCTGCCGCGAACATATACCGTGCATATATGGTAGATATACTAAACATATACTCCAATGAAAAAACATGCGAGCACAGTACAAATTGGAGCCATCCCCAATTTCCCCTTCCTCCTCCTTCTCCACCCATCGGACCAGCCCCACCCGAACCCGTTCCAGAACCCATTCCCACCTCCATGGCCGCCGCCGCCGCCGACGCATTGCCTCAGCAACAATCCTAATGACTCAAGTAAAAATCCTAGCTTTGATGCGATGATGCGGGCTGATTCGAGCAGCAATTTGCAGGATTTTCCTAATGCCAAATCGCTTCCTCTTGTTAGCGGCACAGAGAATTGATATCTGGTGAGAATTAAGGCATCCGATCCGAGTCTGAATATTTGATGCGAGACGAAAGGTTTTCTACATATTTTTGTTCTTGAAAAGTGGAAAAAAAGGATGAAACGAGGCTACTGTGACGATGGAGGGTTGCTCGAGGGAAGACGCCGGCAAGGGAAACAACGAAAGAAAAAAAAAAACGTTGGTGGAGGGTTGAAGGAATAAAATTTCGGTACGCTGCTGTGGAGAGAAGAAAAAATCATCCATGGAGAACGATGACTTTGAAGGAAGAAAATGTGTGACAAATAATTACTTAGAGAAGAGATAAGGAAGATTTTATGTGATTGAGAGAAAGTGGGGTGCGGTTTTTGGTAAGGATATATATTGTTCATAATTAATGATATAATGACATTTAATTTGCCCAGAAATTCCTTAACTGAATATGTTGGTATATGTGCAAATATGTTGGGGTGATTTTGTATCTTTGAAAATAAATATTAATTGGGTGTAAATATATAATATAAAATATATATGATAGTATAGGGTGCAAATTCCTCAATTGGATTTGCCTTATGTATCGAGTCAACATATCGACCTTGTTAGAATTTTAGGAACCTATATCTCCACTTTTTTGAATAAAAATTTGAGTTTAATAATTAGACTTCAGGCATCATCCGATGTATAATGACATAAATGCACAACATCTGAACTAGTAA